ACACACATGATACACACACACACTCACACACACACACACACACACACATACAGGCAAAGCACTCAAACACATAAATAAAAATAAATTAAAACCAGTGGAAGCTTCTGTTTCCCTCTGTCGGGGCAGCAGGCCAGGCTGTGACAGTTTTCTCTCTTCTGCCAACTGGACCCCCTTGAAAGCCTTGTCCCTGCTCCCGCACACACTTGGTGTGGTCTCATTTCTACTGCTTTGGCGGTGTAAGACGCTACACCTCTGGAATGAAGGTAACTGGCCTCTCTGCCCTTCGAGGTTCAATAATTGAGTCTGATGAAGTGAACTAACGGTGATTAACGGGAGGGAATGCTTACGTTCCTTCTGTTCCTTCTCCGTGGTGGAGAGCGGAGCCGTTTCGGGGAGAAAACTTAAATGGTTTTCACTCCAGCTCCACAAGGGTCTGGGGCCGTGTTCATCCGGCTCAAAGTCAGGATTTGCTTAGGTTCTTTCCCATTTGAAGGGACAACAGTTGATTCCTTAGGAAGAATTTCTCTTTTCGAGCTGAGGGAACTATGGATGAGTTGGAGGAGAGAGGCGGAAATAAAAGAAGGCAAAACTTGTTTCCGGGTTGCTTCTCCGGGTTGAAGTACTGAATATGTCAAGTGTCGTCCTGTGGGGTCTTGTTTTCTGGATCTCTGTTAGTTCCCTTTGGTGTCTCATCACAAACGAGTCTTCAGTTATCTTAAGATATGTCTTGAAGCGTTAAAGGACGCAAGAGCAGAGGTGAGTCGGATGGAGGGAGTCAGCTGGACCACACCAGACACTCCCATAAAACCGTGTTTAGTCCACTCCCTTCAATGCGGATTTTCTTATGGAAACTCTGAGTTGTCTCTGAAATAAACATTTTTTAAAAATCTATAGATGATACCCAAAAATATTTTTCTCAAATGACATGTCATTGAAGCACACGCTTTGCTTTGTTTTCCTGCAAAGCGAAAGGAACTTTTAAAGGAAGCATTTGTTGGGACCTTGGATTTCAGATGAAGGTCCTCTAATGCCATAAATCCTTCAGCTATGTAAGATCACCCTGACATTTGTTCCCAGGTGACTCACAGCCTCAGAAACACAACTTGTCTTTCGAATGCTCTCTCTCCAATCTAGTTTCATAAAGTTATGGGAAGCATGTGTGAGCGGTACCCAGTACTGATATAACAAATGTGTCCTGGTGATTGCTAAGAGGGGCCACTGGCTACCGCCACGGCTAGAATTCACACCTGTGAGTCACACCATCTGCCACTGGGGACGGGGACGCTGCTCGGTGGCAGAATGCTTGCCTAGCAAGGACGATGTCTTCCGTTTGGTCTTCCGTGTGATGTGCACGCTGGGATGGGATCTTCTCACATCCTCTTTGTCTTGTCAGTATGGGGACAGAATTAGAATTGGTCCTGAGCTCTCTGACGTCCTGGCCCTTCCACAGGTGACAGTCACCTAAAGCCGGGAAAGGGGACAAACCAAGGTCTAATGCGGTTCCAAAGATGAGTTAAAACTAGGAAGATGGAGAAGAGACTGTTATGCCCACATTGTGTGACAAAGACGGGGGCAGCACATGGATCTTTCTCCCTGAATGCCAGAATTAGGACTCTCAGGAGGGATAGTTCATCTTACCTACAGACCAAAAGAGCACCCAACACACTCAAAGTGTTAGCGCTGGGAATGGCCACACAGAAGGCCCTTAGGTATTCCTCTGTGAGGGAAGACATCAGGAAGCAAAAACCCTAACTTCAGAAGATCATCTTGCCACTTCTGCAGCAAAGAACAGTGGGATACTGGCCATCTTCCTCATTTATATAACCACCCCTGGTAAGAACAGCATTGTAGGGGGGAGGGTCCCTTTGGTTGACAGTCTGAGGGGACACAGTCCACCGCAGCAGGGAGGTATGGGGTCAGGAAGATGAGGTCACCCTGTGTCAACAGTCGGAAAGCAGAGGGATAAATGCGCCTGCCCAAATGGCCTCTGATGGGGGACGTCATTCTGCAGGTATGTTTCTCTTAGTGGCTGATGAATAAAACACTGATTGACCAGTAGCCAGGAAGGGCGTATAGGCAGGGCTACCGGATGAGGAGAATTCTGGGGAGAGGACGAAGAGAGTGAGCTACCAGGGTGACACCACGTAGCTGCTGAAGGAGTAACAGGTCTGGGCATTCCCCAGTGAGCCAAGAGCACGTGGAAATACTTAGCTTACTAGAAATGGGTTAGTAATTAAGAGAGAGCTAGCCAGTAAGAAGCCTGAGCCATCAGCCGAACAGTTTATAATTAATATAAGCCTCTGTGTGTTTTCTTGGGACTGAGTGGCTGGGGGGTCAGGAGGGACAGAGACTCCATCTACAAGCCCCTTCCACTCAATCTAAGACTCCATCCCATGGGATAGTGAACGGCAACCACCTGAGGCTCCCGCTGCCACAGATGGGGCGTCACCACCCCCACGCTTTCCCACCATGGTGCGTGGAGACCCCAGAGGAACTGTGAGCCCCAAATAACCCCTCCCTCCTGTTGTTTCTATCTGGTACTCTGTCTCAGTGACACAGGAGTTACTCATGCCAACACAGTGGTTCTCAACCTTCCTAACACTGCAGACCTTTAATACAGTTCCTCATGCTGTGGTGACAACCACCCTTCCCATAAAATTATCTCTGTTGCTACATCATAAGTGTAATTTTGCTACTGTTATGCATAGTAATGTAGATATCTCTGGAGACGGAGGCTTGCCAAAGCAGTTGTTACCCACAGGTTGGGAACTGTTGCCCTAACGACTTGGCCCCTATAATATAGTTTTTTTTAAAAAAGGTACTGTCAGTGACAGAGACCTGGGCCCGAACGTAAAAGTCCCGGAGGCTGACTTTGAGTTTCCTTTTCTTCACAGAGTCTGTTCTGGAGAAATGTTGACCCATCACGTGGACAGAGAAGGTCGGCACCCGTGAGTTGAATAATAAGTTTACTACGAAGGTCGGAACTATGTGGACTACACTCCCAAGGTCTGGGACAAACCTCCCCAGACCCTGAAACCCAGGAGAGACCCTTGTCACAGCAGTGTCTTCTGGGAAGGTGAGACAAGCTGACCAGACATCGCCTCGCTCTTCCTACAGGCATTTGTCTTCGCTAGCACTAAAGAAAGCAAATCAAAGCACCCAGAAAATAGACGCCTCTATTGCACTGCAGGGGAAACAGGGAAGGCAAGGCTTGGGCAGCCCCCTCTCCTTGGTCCCCATCCTCAAAGGCCCTAGATCTAATTAGCCACTAAGCCATCAATGCTGCTGTGTGTGTGTGGCTGAGTTTCCTGGGGAGACACCATGCACATGTGCAGGCACTCATGCACACACACGCACGCACACACACACACACACACACACCTACCACTGCACAAAGGGAGCTCATGACTGACCAGTTAAGTAACAGTCACAACAGAGACCGGCTTGGTAACCAGCATTTGGGTTGGGGTTACTTACAAGGACCAAGGGTGACTGAGATCACCAGAAAGCCCGCCCCAATACCAGCCACCCCAAGGCCCAGGAAAGCTCAAAAAGCCGCAGCTCTGGCGCTCTCCACACAGCTTGTACACAGCTGCGCCCTCCGGAAAAAAAAAACCAAACCCTCTTCTCTGCAGTTGGGCTGCTCAGTGTCTCCTCCCCAAAGTTGTTTACCCCCCTTTTCAAACTGCTGGAAGGAAGGGGCCTTGATGTCTTCCAAGTTTCTGTTCCCTAAGACATGTGACCTTGTGTTTACTTTCTGAGACCTATGGCCCTCCCCCTCCCTCCCTCCCTCTCTCCCTCCCTCCTGAGGGGATGCTTCAGTTTGGAAGAAAGTGATGCAACTCAGAGTGCTGCGGGCCCAGAGACTGCTCACCTATAGCAGGGGCAGCTTCAGCCTCTAAACAGCCACCCCTTGCCCAGATCCGCATCAGAACTGACATCCTGTGGCTAATGGGTAAAACCTTTCAGAATCGATTAATTTAGCCCAACCCTGGTTTCACCAACCCAAAGCTAAGTTATGTCATCAGATAGTGTACGACAGCCTCCCCCATCCTGCTGGGCCCACCTCCCTGAAGCACCCACCAATGTGTTCTTAAATCACCCCGGCTTACGACTTTCTGCTACTATGGAACTTCATGAAACTTCTTCCACATGGGAACACAGAACCTGCCTGGGGTGACCTAGCTGCATGTTGCCCAGGCCATGGTCACTCAAAGTTTACTCTACACCAGCGCCTTCCTAATGCTGCGACCCTTTAATACAGTTCCTCAGGCTGCGGTGACCCCCCCAACCATAAGATTATTTCCTTGCTACTTCATAACCGTAAGTTTTCTACTGTTATGACCCATGATGCAGATATCTGATCTCTGATGGTTGTAGGATGTTTGATCCCCAAAGGAGGTCACGGACCCACAGGTTGAGAACCACTGTTCTCTTACTCCGTTTGAGGTGAGAGTTGCGTTGTTTGTATCAACAAGGTTGTGGTATGTGTGTGTGTGTGTGTGTGTGTGTGTGTGTTTGTAGGTGTGTGTGGTACAGGCACACCAGTGTACATGTGGGGGGGGCGTACAAGCACATCAGGTATTTTGTTTTGCTTTTAATCTTTGGCATTGCATTCTTCATGGTTGAAAACTCAGATTAAAAAAAAACAAGAATGCCTTCAAGATGTTCTCTCTTCACCGCGGCCACACAATTTCTCTCACAGACTCAGCCATGTAACCAGGCTGTGCACAGGTGGGCAACACTGTGCACGGCTCCACACGCACTTGGTTTCTTCTCTCCCTAGTCAGAAGGTCACATAACTGCAGCTGGACAGTAGACTGCATTTCGTCTCACCTTTCATAGAATTCTCAGAATAGAAACCCAAAGGGACAAAACACTTTTTGTGTGAGTATGCGAAAGCGAAAAAACTAGCCTTTAAGGAATAAGAAAAGAAATAAGGACAATAAGATGGTAAAAATGTAACTCTGTGTGTGTGTGTGTGTGTGTGTGTGGTGTGATGTGATGTGTTTATTCCAAGTTTCACCATTTATATAACTCAACTGCTAAGGAATACATACAGGGGGATATTGGCTCCTTTTCTAGCTGTTCACTAAAATCTCTGAATAACTCAAGGAAAAAAGTTGCAATCCTCTGCTGTCACACATAAGAGGCACAGTAAGGGAACGCAGGGGAGAGCTATCCTTTGTGTTTAAACTTTTATGCAAGCTCGAGGATTCAGGAAGCTCCAGGAGACGGTGCATAGCCTTCAAAAGTATTACCACCAACAAAACTCGAATGAAAGGCTATCTGGTTTTCTCTTTCACGTTATCAGACTGAAGCGGAAACTCCCAGGAAGACTGTTCATGCTGAAGAGGAGAGAACGAAGAGCAGAAATGAGTAGTGGGTGACGACAGCATCCCCCCCCCTCTCCGCCATCTCAAGACAAAGGGGACGCAGGGGAGTCTTGCGAATCGGTCGGTGAAGAACTTGCTTCAGTGACCATCTGACATTGGAATGTATGGACTGCTCTTTGCTTTGCCCGGATACTGAGAACGGAATTATCATGTTTGCTTACAAAGCAAACAGCTTGGGCTCCCAGAAAGGTAATTATAACCCAGAAGACCCAGATCGAATTAGTCCTGTTGAAGTCATTTCCCATTCCACACTGAAGTATCTCTTAATGAAGAAGGTAGATTTCTCTTCCATAAATACATGTCCTCCTTAAAACGCTTCAGTGGCGTAAGAAAATTCATTACATTTTGGACCTGACAAGGCTTCAACCAAAAATAGTATCACCCAGCCGGGCATGGTGGTGCATGTCTTAAATTCTAGCACTCAGGAGGCAGAGATAGGGGGACCTCTATGTATTCAAGGCTATCCTGGTTTTCCCAGTGAGTTCCAGGCCAGTCAAGGCTACACAGTGTTGTAAATGATGATGATGATGATAATGTCGCCCAGCTTGAGAGCCTGCTCATCTCAGTCATCTCTGCTGACCCCTGAGAGGTTCTGTCAGTTTTCACATATCAAAGCCAAGTCAGAAGAGGGAGGACTTGGCCATTTCATTACACACAAGATCAAGTGCTGGAGAGACTCAGATAGCGATGACACAAAAGGAATTCCAGAAACATCGTAAGCAGCATCAGCAACACTAAAACACGTGTGCGGTGACATTATCTCGCTGGTCCCCAGTTTACCTTGAAGAAGGCAAGTGTGTGCGGATGGTGGAGTTCTGGAAGAGTCCCCACAGAGCACCATGAATACTGCAGGGGCAAATCCTGCAGACCTCTTTGCAGAGTCATGGCCTTCCAGGCTTGGGAGCCGGACTGCAAACAAATCCAAGACTCGAAGCTGATTTTCAATGTAATTGCTTCTCCTGCTGACGTTTTTTGTTTTATTCTGGGTGTTTTTGTTTTTAGGGACAAGGTTTCTCTGTGTAGCCCTGGCTGTCCTGAAACTCTCTCTGTAGACCAGGCTGACCTGCCTCTGCCTCTGCCTCCCAAGTGCTGGGATTAAAGGCGGGCACCGTCATCACCCGGCTCCCTCTGGCTTTTATGGGTAGTTAAGAATATTGCCTAGAAACAAAAATGGAAGGAAACTTTTGGACAGATGAGATGGTCCTCTGCATCTCCTCCGCTCCCGTGAAGGTTTGTTTCCTGAACTTTTACTCCCATGCTTATCTGGTAGATGATTTATCAAGAGCAAAGGGAGGCCGGGTGGTAGTGGTGCATGCCTTTAATCCCAGCACTCGGGAGGCAGAGGCAAGAGGATCTCTGTGAGTTCGAGACCAGCCTGGTCTACAAGAGCTAGTTCCAGGACAGCCTCCAAAGCCACAGAGACACCCTGTCTGGGGGGGGGGGGGAGAGCAAAGCAAAAAACTGGAAACATTGTCTTGTATTTGGACACACGTTTCTTTTCCCTTGTGTGGTAGAATAGCATCCTGGTTTTGATCTGGTTCAAGTCCCAGCTGACTATTCCCGGTAATGCTCTCCTGGGTAGACCAGAAGACCATCCTGGAAAAAGAACCTGAAGTACAGAGGACTTTTGTTTGCTTGGCTTTAGGTCCAAAGTACTCTAAGGAGATCTTTGCCTCTGGTAGGGAGTGGCTCTCCTGTCCCTTCTCCCACCCCTGATTCCTGCCCTCTGACTCTCAAGCACTGAGACTCCCTCAGCCTTCCCCCAGGACACCTAGGCATTCAGAGCTCCATGCGGAACAACTGGATTTTTTTTTCCCCAGGAAAATCGTGTCTGCGTCTCTTAACCAATTCTGCCAGCCAGCCAGGACAGGCGGCCCTTTGGAAGGCAGCCCAGGTCTAGCCTTCCTCTTTGACACCAGGAAACTCCCTTGGAGGTAGAGGAGTCTGTGCCTGACCTGGGCGTGTCTGTCTTCCTTCTCCCTGGTTTCCCTCTCCCTCCCCCAGACGTGGAACTCAGGGGGTGATGACACTTGAAATGCTGTTCCAGTTCTCTGGGAGGGAGGTGACTGGGACGGTCCCCAAGCCCTCAGAAAGGCTGCCATTCTGATTCTAGTTTGTCTCCGTGTGCTGCAAGGTACACAAGCTGTGACGGGAGGACTTTCCTCTTGTGGCCTCATTAGTAAGAGGACTTGCGCTTTTCCGGAGCCAGTGGGCCCTTCCGTCTGAGAGCTGTGACCTGTGTGACCATCAGGCTGCGTGGCCAGCGCCTTCACCCACAGAGCCATCGTCCCGACCATCTCTGGGACTTCCTGACAGGCATGGTCTACCCTCGGCTCTCCACCCTGGCTCCTTATTTTGCTTTTTGTAACTTTTTGTTCATTAGTTTGTTTTCTTGATGGTTCTATTTTGTCCCTTTGGAGTTTCTATGTCTTATTTAGGAAAATAGCATGCTATAAATTAAGTCAAATCACTTTTGAAAACGTGTGCTTAAAGATATTCACTTTCCTTCTCCCCCCCCCCATTTTTATCGGCTTTCTCTTAAACACACATACAGATTTCAGCGTCATCCTTCCGATTTTGCTAATGCCTTCAGCTACAAATATTTGGCATAATAAAATTATAAACTTCTAGAGGGCAGAAATAGCAGGGCTGCAGTAGGAACAGAGGCCAGGCCGTTTTCTTTTTCACCTCCAGAGGATTTGCATCTGACCTTGGGCAGGGCCCTTCTCTCTGGATCTCAACTTCCTTGTTTATAAAATGAAGGGGGTGGGGCCAGGTGACCTCTAAAATCCCTCCTGCCCTGAAATTCATCTGCTCTCTGACCCATTGTGGGTGCTTCACAAATAACAAGCAAGCACACTTCCAGAGAGCCTCAGGGACAGAGCTCCTCTAGACACTTTAGTCAACAAACATCTACTTAGTGTTCACCCAGAATGGTCACAGTGAGGGGGCAAAATTGGGCCCCAAAGGGAGACTTACGCATGGCTGTCCCTGCTGCTGCAGTCAAATTTTCACAAGATCATGGGAAGCCAAAAGCTCTCACCAACAGGAAGAATGGCAGGCATATGCCAGGCAGATCTCATCTCCGGCTACCAGAGTCAATCATGGAAGTAGGGGAGAGGGAGCAGGGATTTTTGGTTTGCTTTTGCTTGTTTTTCCGTTTGTTTTTACAAGTTAATGAAGTTGACATTTGGTTTTCACACTGTACAAATCACAAGTAATCTGTTTAAGCCTGTGGATGAGGTCAGACGTGGTGGTATACATCTTCGTGTACATGACGGTACACGCCTTCAATCCCAGCACTTGGGAGGCAGACAGAGCTCTGTGGGCTCTAGGCCAGCCTGGCCTACATAGTCAGTAATTGGCTAGCCAGGCCTACATAGTAAGACCTTGAATAATAATAACAACAACAACAGAGAGATAGAGCATTGGTGGCGCACGCCTTTAATCCCCAGCACTCGGGAGGCAGAGGCAGGCAGAGCTCTGTGAGTTCGAGACCAGCCTGGTCTACAGAGCGAGTTCCAGGACAGGCTCCAAAGCCACAGAGAAACTCTGTCTCAAAAAAACAAACAAACAAAAAAAATGAGATACTAGGGTACAGTCAGTGATATTCTATTTAGCATGTGTACAGCTCTGGGGGGCAAATTCAGGTTACCACAAAGTGCTCTTCAGAGAGTCCTCGTCCTTGGCTTTCTGCTCTGTGATCATGAGGGATATTTTTGTGTGAAAAATGAGCAAAGTTGGAAACCCACCAAAAGTCTGCCTTGCTCCTGTCTCCTTCAGTGAGCAGGGACCATGAGCCCAAACTCCTTTCTGGATGCATCTGTCACATAAGAGTTGTCTGAGCAGCTGTGGTGGTGCACACCTGTAATCCTAGCTTTCCAGAGGCTGGACCAAGAAGACGCTGTCTTAAACAGAGAAGAGCGGTGACATAACCCAGTGGGGGGCACATTCGGTGTGGGTGGGTGCAGTACACGCCTGTGTGTGTACATGTGTGTATGTGTGCATGTGTATTTTTGTGTGCATATGTATGTGTGCGTATATATATGTGTGTGTGTATATGTGTGTCTCTCTGTGTGCATGTTTATGTGTGTATATGCGTGTCTCTGTGTGTGTATGTGTGTACATGTGTATATGTGTGTATGTGCATGTTTGTGTGTGTATGTGTGCGCCTCTTCCTGTCTCTGTCAAGAACCAGCCAGGGGTAAGGAAGGGAGCAGAAGCTTTTATTGAGGGAAGCCTTTCTTGGGAAGTTTTCTTGAGCCTTCTTGGGGCCTGCTTAAAGTTTTCTTTGCTCCACGGACTGGTCTCTCTGTCATCAATCCCGACACCCTCCACACATTCTCGGATACAGGCTGCGCAGCAGGCGTGGCAATTACCAACTAAGATTCCCCTACTTAGGGTCAGTACTGTATCCTCCCTGTTCTGAGTCCTCCACATTCCCATAATCCTGCCCATGCCATGGTCCCCTCCGCCTGTGGTCCTCCTCATTCCACGGTCCTCCTCCAGCTGTTGAAGTCTCCTCTTACTTCAGACTTTGTTTTTCTATCCCTACTCTAGTTTTTTAAGTTGCCAGTTCCAGTTCCTTCCCTTCTGTCTGTTTGCCTTTTTTTTTTTTTTTTTTTTTTTTTTTTTGGTTTTTCAAGACAGCGTTTCTCTGTATTGTTTTGGAGGCTGTCCTGGAACTCTCTTTGTAGACCAGGCTGGCCTCGAACTCACAGAGCTCCGCCTGCCTCTGCCTCCCGAGTGCTGGGATTAAAGGCGTGTGCCACCAACGCCCAGCCCCTTTCTGTCTTTCGCCTGTGGCCTCTTCCTTGTTTCTTCCCGTTGCTTCCTCCTGTCTCCTTCTCTGGCCTTCCAATTTCCAACTTGTTTCATCTCTTCCATAAAAGGGGTAAGTCTCCCCATTGCTGGCCGAGTTGATCTATTTTTTACTTGCCGAGGGTTCCGGCAGAAGTGCCACTCAAGACTGCCAGTGTGCACCAGGTTCCGATAAGACCATAGCAAGCAGAGAACCCACCCCAAGAATAAACACTCACTTCCTCCTGGGCAGGGCCGTTCAGCAGTACAAAGAACACTTCTTTTGAAAAGCAAACTGTTTCTACACCAATTAGCTCAAAGCAAGCGGTCCACGCTCAACCGGCGAATGCTCCCGGCTGCACAGGCAGTGTGGAAGGGGGTGAGTTGAAGAAACCTCTCCCGGGCTTGGAGGAGGTCCTGGAGGAGACACGGGAGCCAGTGGGCAGCGAAAACAAAACCAAACCCTCAATGGCGTTTCCTCCACCTTCTACCTCCTTCCTCGCTGTTTTTCTTTAAGTCACTCGTCACCTCTGATATGCTATGTATTTTACCCATTGGTTTAATGACAGTGTACATGCACACATACTACATACTACATAACACACACACACACACACACACAAATGCCACGCCTACCCACTCAGATGCAAGCTTACAAAGGAGTCTTTCTTTCCTTCCTCCTTCCTTCCTTCCTTTCTTTCTTTCTTTCTTTCTTTCTTTCTTTCTTTCTTTCTTTCTTTCTCTTTCTGTGTAGGCACGGCTGTCTTGGAACTCTCTAGACCAAGCTGGCCTTGAACTTGGATATCCGACTGCCTCTGCCTCCTGAGTGCTGGGATTAAAGACGTGCGCCACCCCTGCCCAGTCCTTTCTTGTTTTAACCACTGCTTAATTCCCAGTATTCTAACACTGCGGGGCACATCAAGCTCTCGAGCACTGTGCTTGGTGTGCAATGAAACCATGTAAGTCCTCTAATGAGTTAGAGCACGTGAGGAGGGTGTAAAGATCTATTTCAGAGACATGTGACAGGTTTGAATTGAAGAACTCAGAAAGGGCAGGGCTGCTAAGCTGGGGACTGGCCGTGAAGGGGACTTTTGATACTCAACACCTCTACAGCTTTCAGGATAGGCAACGGTGACTCACACCTATAATCCCAGCACTCTGGAAGCTGAGGCTAAAGGATTTCAGTGAGATTCTGCAGGGCAGCCATGGCGAGACCGCAGTGGATCCCAGGCCAATCAGAACTGTATGTCAAGACCTTTTCTCAACAAAGCACACAGGACCTCGGAGATGGCTGGGGGAGTAAAGACACCAGTAGTCAAGACTGCTGACTTCGCGTCGATGCTTGTGACCCACAAGGTGGCAGGAAAGAACTGACCACCAGATACTGTCAGCTGTCCCCCACAGGTGTGCTGTCCACATACACACAGTCAATAAAATAGAACAGGTAGCACACGCCTTCAATCCCAGAATGTGGGAGGCAGAGGCAGATCTCAGTGAGTCCGAGGCCAGCCTGGTCTACAGAGCGAGTTCCAGGACAGGCTCCAAAGCTACAGAGAGAAACCCTGTCTCGAGAAACCAAAACAAACAGACAAAACAAAACAAAACCCCCACAAATTAAAAACAAAGAATGTAAACAAAAATCTTGTCATATTCCTTGTTGCTTTAGGGGTAGATCTGGGAATGCCAACTTTTCATTTTGGAAGGGAGGAAATGCACAGGGACCATGGTGCCTCAGAATAAAAAAGGAAGCATCCACTCCAGACACCAGAGGTGGGAGGAAGGACTTAAGGGTTTAGTGTGGGTGTGGTGTTGTATAATATTTTAACTAGGCAAAAAAGGTGCTACTACATTTGTTTATGCTGCAGGATGTGCACTGCTTTTGCTTCTGCTGAGTTTGTTTAACAATGTAACCGTGTGTGTTTAATGACTTAAAGATGTGTTGCATCTGTTTCGCCTCCCTGCCTAAGGCACCTGATTTGTGTAATAAAGAGCTGGATGGCCAATAGCTAAGCAGGGAAAGGATAGGCGGGGCTGGCTGAGCAGAGAGAATAAACAGGAGAAATCTAGGCGCAAAGAGAATGTAATGAGGAGACAGTGAAGAACATGCCCAGGGCAAGAAGCCAGGTAAATGCTAGACGGACATAGAGAAGCAGTGAAAGATATGCAAAAGGAAGAAAGATAGTATGCCCCGAGGCAAAGGGCAGATCAAAAGAAACAGGTTAATTTAAGAAATTAAAAGAACTAGCCAGAAAGGAGCCTAAGCTAGGCCGAGCATTCAAAGCCAATAAATAAGTCTCCGTGTTGGATGTGGGAGCTGGTTGGTGGCCCAAAAGGACAAACCCAGTACAGTGTGAGATCTAGGCCTCTTCTTCTTGGCTCTGCGGGATAACCTTGAACTTGGGACTGTCCTTCTGGGCCCTGCTTCCTCAAAAGATGATAACACCAACCTGTGGGAACATGCAAAAGTTGAACCGAGAAAACAAGGCAGCGTTCAACCCAGTTCAGCTGCTCAGCCTCGGAAAGCAAACAGCTCTTCTGGTCAGGACTCAAGGACAACCATCAGAACTTGCACTTCTCTCCTTCCCAACAGCTAAGGACAGGAGCCTTGCACAGCTACACAGGTAAGTGTGCATTTAGGTACCAGGCCAGTTTTCCCCAAGCCATTTATTCCTACACAAAC